GTGTGTGGCAGCTCGTCGCTAAAAAATCCTACTTCATGGCTTCGCGATTCTACGAACAAGTCTGACCACCGAGAAAACAGTTGTACAGGAGGTATTCTTACATTCCTGGGATCCAGTCGTTAATCCCTTTGGTCCAGCAGTTCCAGTTTCTAACCACATCACGCGTCCGGCCCACGCGATCTACGTAAGATGAGTAAAATAGGGTGCGTCCCTGATCTCCCATCTGGTTCTTCCATCCGGCGGGAACCTCCGTTACTTGGATGTAGCTGGTACCCGAGCATCGGTCTATATGACGCGTCTTCAACTTGATACTCTGGACCTAAAAGTTCACGACACTGGTTCCTTGGATTTGGGGTTCAACTACGGATTACAAATGACTAATTTACATACTACTTAAAGAAACGGACACAGTCGAGGCCGCCCCGAACAACCCCCACTATCAGACAAGTATTATATGAGACGAAGAGGGCTCAGAGAGTGGGAGGATAGGAGGAAAGTTCGGAAGCCGAGAGGGAGGTAACTCTCACGCACCATGGAAGCAACACAAACCTGTATTAATAGGTATAGGCTCGCCAGCATATCTCGTCCCTAAATGAGTGTGGCAACTGCTGCGAGCGACGTTTCTTTAGCTAATGATGGGTGTGGAAATTGCTCCACCCTAGGCCTCTGCCACTCACAGTTCGGTCCACAATCTGAGTGGTGCGGCCACCCAGATTGTAGACTGAACTACCTGCACAAGAAAAGGATTTCACTTCTAAGGTAATTTCTTAATGCGTACAGTATGAAAAGGGAGCTTCGGCTTGGGAGGGGGCTTGTGCCCTTTCCCGCTACTCCCCCACGTCATATTGAGTCAGGATGGAACCTTTGAAAGCATGTAAAGGTCTGGAGTGATACAGCCGTTTGAAAGAGACTATCTTGTCAACTCTTGTCGACAGTGATGGAACACACGGGGGAGGCCTGCGAAATGCAAAACACGCTCACCTCACCCCCCCCCACCCAAGCCGAACCACGCCCAATCTGACTTGAGTATAAACACAGTACTAATCCAAGCGTATGACTGCCCCAATGATGAAAAAAATCCAGTTATAGGAAAATGGGCAAATCATAAAATGAGAGATTGATTTGGCGGTCCGCCGTAATTTATTCGCACCAACACTTCCTTTCTCTATCGTATACACATCAACGAATTCGTACAAAGCGCGTTATAGAAGGTCAAACATAGTTCCAAGACCGAAACGCAACTTTGGTAACATGCCTATTTTCCCAGTAAGACATTGTAGAACAGGCGTGTGGCTCCTAGTCTACACGGTAGTTGCTTCTCTGGTAGATTTGTAGTAATGCTAATTTGTATTGGAAGGTTGCTATAACGTTATGATTCAGCCAGGAGCCATAGTGAGTAATAGAAGTAGGGTGCAGACATAGAGAAGGGAGGCCATGAAGTTTTTCCGTGTAAGATTGTGACAGTTGTCATAAACGTGGTTGTATGGGATCTGCATAAAAAACCTAATGGCACAGCTTTCGAGTAGACTGATGTTCTTGAGCAAAAACTGTTTTACTGCTTCAGTTACGCAATGTCACATTACTAACGTCATTACCTGAAGACAAAAAGGAGCACGATGTTGTACACGGTCTAGAATGGCAGCTGGGTTGCTGAATAGCGGGGAAAGTGACAAAAATGCTGAGCGAAAGGCTCAAAAAACTCCAAAAAAACCTTTGATCGTCACGATATTGGACGAGTATACGGCTGATGAAGAGTCATTTTGGAGGAGTCTTCTGTGCCGTTTCTGATATAAAGTAACGTTGGTGACTTCTCCTGGTTTTTTTTCCAACAGGTTAGAGAATCCCCTACAACGATGTGCCCTGATTGTTAGGGATTCCCAACCATTTCCTGTATTTCCGATCTGATTCTGAGAGAAGCTGACTGACTTTGCTGGTTTTCCTGTTTCATGTGGACTATATACCTATGCTCCCCCCCTCTGATTAATCAGCTCGATGGAGGAAGAGGATCGGGTGGTCGCACTAACCACCTGAAAAGGGAGGGGGGGTCGCACGAACTCGAGTAGAATCCCCAACCAATGATGTGTCCTGATGGCAATGTCGCCTCGCGAAGGGAGATGTGCAAGAGGATCGTAAACTGCCGCTTCGTCGCTTGCGGCAGTGAGCGCGACGTTATCCATTGAAGTTGCCCCTATTCCCATTGCTGAGAACTCCGCTATTCTATCGTAGACAAGGATATGGTAGATAATTATGTCTATTTCTAGACATACATTGTCTATTTTCGACTAGTACCACCTAAAATAGTCGTCTTTGGCAGGCAAGACGTCGCACGCACACTAGACACAACACTGGCTTCCCGCAGCCGCAATCCACGCAGTCTCTCTTGCCCCATACCCCCCCTCGCAAAAGGGTGTACGAATAACGCGAGGAAGCTCTAACCCTAGAATGTAAGTTCGAACATCCAAATTCAAGAGTTCCCCAGCAATCCGTTCCGACTCGGTTTCTGTCTTTGCCGCCAGGGCACTAACCCCCCTATAGGGGGGGGAGGGGAAATCGCAATACGACGCAGCTCTCAAAAATCCTCTGTTACACCCCATCCCTCCTCCATGTCCACCCTGCATACTCTCGAAAACACCCCAGCTTTTCCCAAACAGCGAAGGGTAGGCCGGCACCTTGTGAAGGCTCGCCCGTTATGACTTGCGGCAAGCCGCTAAGCGTACGGCGCTTCCAGCGTACCGCCAGCGGCAGTGCCGGGCGAGACGGATTGGAATATCGACCTCTAGCGGTCCCAAGCGCTCACCAGCCCGCTAGGCGCTCAAGCACCCAAGCGTTACGCCCAGCGTTTGTCACACGCGTCTTCGCTTAGCGTTTTGCAGCGGCGGACAGGGGAGTACGAGACTATGGAGAGGGCTGCGAGGGATACACAAACACCAGCCGGGACTCGATTTGCAAAACGCCACCGAAACGCTGCCGGTACACGCCTAGCGTACGCTGGCGTTAGGCTGGTGACCGCTGGAACGCTACGATCCCGACTGTCATCCCGCCTGCCCCCGGCACTCGGCGCTGCGTAGCTGGAAGCCGCTCACGCTACGCTGCCGCAAAGTATAAACGCCAGCCCCTACAGCGGGCAGAACGAAGAGTAGCCAATACAACCGAGAACAGATTTCATCAAGAAGCAAGTATCGGATTCCCCCCTCTTCCTTCACGACTAAACTACGAACAACCTCGCTGTGGAGCCTCAGCGTACGAACTACCCTACTTTCTGAGCATAGTGCGTGCGAACCGTGCAGCAGCAATATGTCTCTCTTTATCTGTAGCCTGAAACCGCCACGTCGCATTCAGCTCTGGGCTCCGTCGACAGGAGGTGGTGCAGTGCAGCCCCCCCTGCCTGCTTTTCACTTCTTTCAAGAAGAATAAAAGGGGCTGTGTGTCAGGACTCACCGCCCTACCGCGCCCGGACAACAGTGCCGCGTTGGAACGTGGGTCACACGCGCGCGGGCGATTAACTGCTCTTACACATCCGTTCTGCATCGTCCTTGAACATGTCTACCCTGTCCGGACATGTTCTTCGGCAGACTGCAAGAATGAGGAAAAGCAGAGAAGCTACCCACAAGAAAATGCGATGGGGTCCTATTGATCGGAAGGTCAGGATTCACCGCCGCCGCCCCACCCCGCCCCGGACAGGCTCGCCGCGCGGCCGTGACTCTAGTTCCAAAGCGCGGCGGTGCACTGCTGGCCGTCTCACCAGGAAGAAAGCAATCAGAGCGGGTAGACACGTCAATTTGCGGGTGGACTTTTTCATGTTCTCGCTGAACCCCCGGGTCACTGCTGACCGACGAAATTCCACCTGCACTGGTGGCGGCCTCCCGTGCGACGGCTTCGCCACCGCCAAATCGACGCTGGTCTCCAAGGTAGTACATAGCGACAACAGCAATTCAGAACTGACACACATCTGCGCACGACACCCCTCGTCCTACCGATACGGGGTCTACATGAAGTCGGTGCTCCAAGCGAAGGTTACACGGGTTGAGAAAACATCGCGCCGTATCCGCGCCGCGGTCACGCGGCGGCCCCACAACGATTCCTCTTCGCCCGTCCCCCGAACCCCGGCTGATTGTGATGATATCAACCCTACATTACTCGTCATGACAATGGGAAAAACTAATCGTTCAACATGAGCTCCTACTCCGCTGCCTCACGCAAGACTAACTTTAGGCTCATCCAGTGCAGTCTAACTTACCTGTACCCACCTATACCTAAACTTAACTTCGGCCCTCCAAAAGTGTCAACGGGGAATTCCCTCTGTCCCTCTCGGCAAGCCAAATAAATTTCGAACCTCAGCCGCGCTTCATAGTTCGCGATCCGATCGCATGGATCGCGCCATCGCGTCGTGAAGTATGAACGCGCATAAAGAGAGCGATTATTCTCTACAAAATTTTGAAAAGCTCACGAAAAAACATTCCACAATGCTCCCACATGGTATCTGTCCCGTTCATTTCTGATTTCCAACTATGATTGATGTTGAAAACAATTTTATAACTTTCTGGAAATAAGAGGAAAACAACAAAACAGCTCTCAAAGAAACGAAACTGCTAATTACAACTATGGTAACAACAGAAATCTGGACATGATTATCTTAATGGAAATCTTATAAACGTTCAAGGGTTATCAACACATTTCCTGATATTGAACCAGGGCACGTCCTACCGTTGGGTACCATCTTCCATATCCTACCTACCAAATTCCTAAGATTTCTCAACTTTCGAAACTTTTCGCAGAAGCTAATACGACCCCCTCTCCTCCCAGTGACCAAATGCGACTCCCTCATTAGGGATCCCTAACGTACAACGTGCCTTGTATTTAATGCAGTTCAAAAGGTGGAGAACAGGTAGGTGCCTAGGCCAGGACTGGGAAAAGAGGAATAATTAACACGCTATGCGAGCCACAACTACTAACAATCAACCACATATGTATTTACAAATGATATGACAGATATCGATATATTAATGCTGTGCAGCTTTCATATCCATACGTCGTTTGAAGATGTCTGTAGGAACTCCCCTTGATTCGTCATCACTACCAGACTCGCCACGTTTTCTTTTACCACCAACAGAAGAACTAGTCGTGCTTGGGGGATAGTCCATGAGATGCGTCGACACCTGGAAAAGGCTTTTATCACAAATTAGAGTGCCAAGCCAAAGCAATTAGTATCCCAAAACGGCACATTCATAAGGAAACGGGTGCGGTTTGGCTTAGTGGGGGCATTTTGCTGGTTCCCATCGATCACAGCCGATGCCTCCTGTGGACACTGTAAATTCCTGTAAAGCTATGCAATAGCAGGAGCTTCGTTTACACTTGACAAGAGTCTACAGGTGTCATCAAGGTGTGATGTGGAATCAAAGAAGAATTCCATCAAGGAAAACAGACTTTGGTGCAAGGAGTCCCTCATATACTTACCAGGAAAGGTCAACAGGTCAGCCCGGCCATTTGCAATGAGGTGCACATCATTGTACTCACCTTGAGACGGTGAACTCAAACTATCTTCAAAATTTGCGGAACGATTCTCTGAGCGGAGTTATGGAGGTTTTTCTTTACTGTTTTTCTTCTTCCGGGCGCGCTGGCGCCGAAGCGTTGGCACCTGTAGCGCGACTCACAGCGCTCTTCGCGCAAAATAGGTATCATATTCGTGTTCAGGGGGTCAAATAACCCCTAGAGACGTCACCTTAGCAAAATCTGAGCTTCTGACTCAACTTCGAAAAAATGGGGTATGGATAGTCATGGCTGACTGATAGCCAACAGCGATACTATGACTAGCATACTGACTGGTCTTCGAACTGAAATAACTCTTCAGTCATGTCTTTTCGCAAAGAACAATACCTGGCTCACTCATTCGTGCCGTCTACATCATTTTCCTGATTACTAGGAGGAAATTCCATCCCGAAACCAGTCATCGATGGCAGGTGAGCTCCAATCTGCTGCTAATTACCCATGGAATAGCCCACATTTTCCAAGTTAGGTCGAAATATCAGATTCGGCCTAGAAACTTGCCTCCTCCGAGAGGCTGAACTGGACCGCCCCTGAACATGAAATATCATTGCGTATCTTTCATTGCAGAAAACAACTTGTGAAAGTTACGAGGGGAACCAGAAAACACTCTTTACGGCCCACAATGGGTCTGACATTCTCTAGAGGAAAGTACGATTTTCGCAGGGTGTATCACAAAGTAGTGCAGGCCAAGGTAGACAGATGTTAGTATGCCGTCTCGTCGCGCCGTCGTTTCTGAAAATTAATGCGAAATAAGACGGGACGGACCAGCGGGGGACGATCCACGATGTTTGTCTTAGGAAACCGCCGGCTGACCTAGATACGCCTAGCTGCACCTTTCACTGCCACAATTGCGATGCTTTTTTCCGGTTAACAATAAATGTAAAGGGCCATACACGTGTCCTTGCGGGAATACATGACAATAGAACCACCGGAAGCGGGATAAACTCCCCTCCCACAGACTCCGCCCTCACGGGCAGTTAACGTTTCGCGTCACAATTCACATGACAGATCTTCGAGTTCAGCCGCTCTCGGAGATGCGCCACAACAGTGTGCACCCGCACTGGCAATGGCCCGAGCGGCGCGTGACTGTTGACCTATCCTGTGTTAGCATAAGGGGTCTCGATATAAATTCCCGAGACGTGAGGGCTTAATCACCCTCGCACCAAGGACAGAACTCAGGCGCCTCTGCCCGCCCTGCCAGCATGGACGTTTGCGGCCGCCGCATCTTTCGCCAGGTACAATGCCTCTGTTACAGGCGTCCGTATCGAAGCCTGCCAACATATACCAGCCGGTACGCCCAAGTTGCGCGCGCTTATGCCCGCCCACAATGTCAAGCCAATGCATGATGCTTCGAATCCGCCTTCTATTGCGAAAATACGAGTATAAACGCGCCAAAGCGGGTCCGGCACTGCTTATGCGCGATGATCGTGAGGTACGTAATCAGATCTACTTCGCTACGGAACGCGTAAGCGACTTGGTGTTCCGCCGGGGACTTGATGAGTTAGGTGTGCGCTTGCCAAACCCCGTGCTTCAGGTGTTGAAAGCAACGCTACGCGGCAGGTGGCAACGTACTATACCGTTCGCATCACTCGTTTTCTACCAACTGTTGTCGCATACTCGCTTCAGCAACTGGCAGAGAACGGGTTTTTTCACCGTGGCACACTCATACTGCCCGACACGCCCCTTCATCCGCAGTGAACTAGAGTATACATGCAGCCGTATCGGCTATCTGCACGAAGCAAGCGGGATACTTGTCCAAAATCGCTTCCTGAGTCGTGTAGATCAGAAGCTTTTTGAAGGTTTTTGTGTTTCAATTCGCTTTTTCGCCGTTTTCCCATCATACATATAGCACCTCTGCTATCATTTTGGACTGAGTACTAAATTATTGTACCTTAGCCTTCAAAGGTCATAAGCACCTCATTTTTGATCTATGACTGATTGTTTTTTGAGACAATCTAATATAATTGAAAACAAAAAGGAAACTACAATTGCACACTCACAAAACGAGGATCAGGAGTTGTTGCAAGCAGCTGATACATGTCTTTTCGTACATCATCAACTCTCAACGGACCAACCATGGTACCATTTTCAACCTTCACTTTTTTGTCCAGCACAGGGCCTAAAATGTAAAAAAAGTATGAGTACAGCAATTTGCACGCCGTTGCACCGTTAATATGCTTAATTATAAAAACTCGTATCGAAGTTTGGACGTAGTCCTTCAGAAAACAACATACCAGTAGTCAAAGGCATTTTGTTGATGTGCTCAATGAACAAATCCACTGATACGAAAGGTCCCTGGAAAGTCCATGGCGGTGGCAGCAATGAAATGAGCTCTGCTATAGCAGGCGGTGGAGGAAATACCCCTGAAAAAAGAAGGTAATAAGAACGTAGGAAGAGCGTTGCACCTTACAAAACTCACCCCCAGGAACAGGGTGAAATGATGCCGCACTGTTCGCTTTCGGCTTGAATGGGATCATCTGGTCAATATCAGGACGAGGGTATCTTAAACCTTTAGGATACAGTAAGAGAACAGAGGACAAAGATAAAAACTGCTGACCCTCCAATTTCCAGCTGAACACTCGGTATCCCACCCATCACCACACTGGCAGCCTGTGGTGCAGCTAAATTTCGCTGTGGTGCCATCAACGATCCAGTAGATACACCCGTCATGCCGCCAAGCATACCGGTATTTGATTTCTGAAACCGATAGATAAGTTGAGGTAACAAACATCACCCTACTATAAAAGGAATCAGTCTCAATCAACACATTCGCGCTCCGAAACTGATTACAAAGATTCTGCCTCGTGCAAAAGATTTGACCTCTCATAAGACACGAACCACAAAACACACCACAGACAGCGCCCACAGAGCTCTTCAGCCGCTCAGCTCGCCCTTCCACCGCTCAGTTACTGTGAGCCATTACACTGAGCTGGTGGAAGGTGGTCGCGGTAGTGTAGTGGCTAGCGCACTCACTGTCAGCTGGCAGTACGAGTTATGGTCTTGCCCGAGGTCAAGCGTTGAATGTACCATTATTTCTTTTACTAGGCTGTCGAGCAGTTGCAACCCTACCCCACAAC